GTGCTCGCGTTCACTTCTCACAGCTCTTACAGCAGCTATACCCAATGATGTCATCAAAACCGTTCCGTTTCTCAGCCATCGCTCTACCGCCTTTATAGCAACACCTTTAGCCCGTAGTAGCCCACGAGTATTACGGATGTGCCGTTGTCGCGGCTCTGAAGTGCGCGACATTGACGCTATTGTCTTACAAAGTTAGCATTTGGCGACTAATCTCAGCATTTGGACGAGTTACGTAGTTACGAGCTCACCTCATGATACGCAGCGTGGATTACGGCGTAGCGGCTAATTCAAATGCGCGTAGGTCAAATGAGCAGACAGGTTCGTACAACTCGTCTGGCCCCGCCCCTTCCTTTTTGAAAAGCAATTTTGGTTTGAGGCTTCATCGACGTTTTCTTTGCTTCTTTTTTCATTTTCAGTCAATCGCGGACTCCACCTTCATTATCGACCGTTGTGACCCCACAAATTCGATCTGGGGGAGCTGCTGGCTATTTTCGCAATGTAAATATTTTATAAGGGTGACGAGTCCTGCTCAATATTCATACCCTGGGGGAGGATCAAGCCAGTGTGCCTATCCATTACATTATAGGTCCATGAACCTTCACTATGCTTCATTGACACGTCTTTTTATCCTTCATATAGTATCATGTGACAAACCATGTAACCTATATTGGTAGTGCAAAGTAAGCTAGAGTTTTAACAGCCATGTATAAGCTTCAACCCGTCAGGAATTGCATGGTTAGAATGGTGCGTCTTAGCACATTAGCATACAAACACCATATTTGTAAATAGAAAATGCCTCAAAGCAACATGCCCAGATCAAATTGCTGGGTGACAGAGGACGATAATGAGATTGTGGATGCCGAGAAAGTGGAAAAAGAAGCTAAGCAACTTGTCGATGAAGTCATTAACAAGTATCCCTTTCTTCCTCTTTGAAATTACGAAGGGGCGGGGTCAACGAGTTGTACGAACTTGCTTGCTCCACGGCTCACTAACCCGCGCGTATTTGAATTAGCCGCTACGCCGTAATCCACGTTGCGTGTCATGGGGTGTGCACGAGGTATCTCGTCCATAGCTCACATTAGCGTCACAAGCCCACTTTGTAAGGCCCTAGCGCCATTGTGGCGCGTTTTCGAGAAGTGACAGCTGTACATCTGTGGACTACCCTACTCTACCCACAAAATAGACGACTTCGACACGACTTCCTGGAGTTGTTGCTTCAAGAGGGAAACACGAAGGACCCCTGATTGATTTGTGTACTTTCACATATGCTGCCCTCATTACGAACGTACTTGACTCTCATCGTTGGATGACTTGTACGACACTTGATGACACTGCGAGCTCGATGAATGAGCGGTGCCATGTCGATCTCAACAGATTCGTTCATAGAGGGAATACCCTCAACAACTTTCGGCCATTCAATTATTATTGATCTGAAACCTGTTACATATTAGAGCTATTCTGACTGATTGAAGAAATGTGGATAGAAGTTCAGTAGTGCCAAACTGGTCCCTTGGCACACAGTGACGGCGAAATCAAATTCCGGGTATCTGACAGGAGGCCCGCGAGAAGGCAGAAACACAGACGGATCAGCTGACAAGTCGCACCGCGTACTACAGTGATTTCGCGTCAAGTTAAATAGTACTATAGTACGTCTCAGATCACATGCACTGCGACTCGTCCGGTGACCCGTCTGCGTCACTGCCTTCTCGCCACACGAGGGGCCTCCTGTCGGGTACACGAAAATTAGTCCACGTGTAGTTAGAGGGACATCGTCGATAGAGTAACCAACGTATTC